CCAAATCAAACAGATTTATTGTTTTCGCTAATAGAGTAAAGTAAAAATTTACACCCTCTCCCGCTTTTAAATTTTTCAGTAAAAGAATCGTACAAGTCAAATAGACTGATTGTTGTTTAAGAGGGTAAAGAGAAAAAATTCCCCCCTCTCATTTCTTAATTTTACGGACCACCACAGTAAAATGGACGAATTTAAAAGTGCAATGCTAGAGTTGCTGAAAAAACCAACAGGAACAACAACTACTATTGGAAGAGGAATATCAAGAAAGACAAGAGAAATTCCAACAAGAACAAGCAGAATACCAGAAGAAATTTCAGGAATTGCACCTAGAAATTCAGGTTAGACAACAGAAACTGGAAGAAATGCTCCTTCAAACACAGAATAAGCATAGGCACTTGTATAATATATCCATCAAAAGCCAAAATGACGATGGCGAAAACGCGTTCTCTCAAAATGCTATATGGAGTGCTATTGAAAACTTCATGTTTGCACCTGAAGAAGAAATTACAATCGCTTCGTACTTTAAACGTTATGAGGACTTATACAATACGGATTGTGCATGTTAGGTTGACAATAAAAAGGCTCGCCTACTCCTCAGGAAATTAGGCACAGCAGAATATACTAAGTTTGCTAACTATATTTTGCCTAAGAAAACCAGTGACTTGAAATTTAAAGAGGTGGTTCAATCATGAACAGAACTCTTCAGTCCAAAGATATCACAGTTCTACAAGCGTTGGAAATGCATGAATCTCACCCGCCAAGAAGACGAAGATTATACTACTTTCGTGAGTGTAGTCAATAAACACTGCGATGATTTCAAATTGGCAGAGTTAAGCGCCAATAATTTTAAACGCTTGATTTTCGTCCAGGGTTTCATTTCAGCGAAAGACGCCGAAATACGTCGTAGTGTTCTCAATAAGCTTGAAAACGAGCCCATCGTTACTTTACAAGTTGCCGAAGATTGCCAACGTTTCGTGAGCATCAGAGAGGATTCGAAAAACATCGAACAGAGTGGTGTGGCTCACATTAAAAACAAAATACGCCAAAGAAAAATTAAAAAGGGTCAACGAAAAAATAATAAAGTTACTTTGCCGTCAAGACCATGTTTCGGGTGTGGTCAATTACATTGGTACAGAGATTGTCCTTTTAATGATAAAAAATGTTTTAATTGCGATAAATTGGGACACAAATTTTCCCACTGCAGGATTAAGAACAAGACAAAAAAAAAAGTTTTGTTAAAATTACCAAGTCTGATGAACCAGAAAGTCGTAACATCAGGAAATATATTGAAGTGCAAATATTTAACAAAGGGTCACCCCTTTCATTTTTCAACAGGTCATGGACACGATGTTAAATCATCTGGATTTTGCGATTGCCTATCTTGATAACGTCCTAATGAAAAGCGAGAGCACCGAGGAACACAAATCGGACGTCTGACAGGTGTTCATGAGAATCCAGGATTACGGATTCAAATTAAAAGACAGGAAGTGTGAGTTTTTCTTAGAGGAGATTAAGTACTTGGAGCAATTAATTGACAAAGACGGAAGACGTGCCAACCCAGATAAGGCAACGACAATAAAGACTATGACAGCACCAGAAAATCTATCGGCTCTTCAAAGTTTTTTTAGGTTTTGCCAATTATTACGTTTTATTCCCCAAAATACAGTTTGAGAACTCCACTTAACGAATTATTGAGAAAAGATAAAGAGTCGGAATGGACTACCAAATGCCAGGAAGCATTTGAGAAAATAAAAGAGGTCCTTACATCAGATCTGTTCCTGACTCATTACGATCCAAACCTCGATATCATTGTAGCCAGCGATTGTAGCTCTTACGGTATCGGGACGTGCATTTTACACAAGTTTTAACTTGTGTAAAATTTATGGGTAAAGCCAATCACCCATGCATCTTGGACGCTATTACCAGCTGAAGGGTGTTACTCGCAAATAGAAAATGAAGCATTAAGAATCATTTTTGCGGTAACTAAATTCCATAGATTTATTCATGGAAGGCACTTTGTGTTGCAGACAGACTATCGCCACTCCTTACTATCTTTGGATCGAAAAAGGGTCTGCCAACACATACGTCTAATAGACTGCAACGATGTGGAACCATTCTCGTCAATTATAATTACAAAATGGAGTTTCTCCCATCCACTAAAATCTGTCATGCAGACTGGTTGTCTAGATTGATACCTAAGTATGCTGAACCCCTGGAAGACACAGTCATTGCTGCCATAAGAAAAGAGGTCGAAATAAAAAGTACCTTGTGCAATACTGTTAGGGATCTTCCTATAACAATTGATGAGATAATAGACAAAGCATCCGATGATGAGTTTATAAAGGAAGTAAAGGACAAAGTAAATAGTAAAGACCAAAATATCTCAGTTTACTCACTCTGTAACGACATACTAATGTACAGAGACAGAGTAGTAATCCCATCTACACGACAGAAAAGAACATTAAAGAAATTCCATGTTGCCTATCCAGGAACTTAAAAAATGAAGAGTCTGATGAGGATTTACGTCCACTGGATCAACATAGACAAGGATATTGAAAACACTGTAAGATCGTGCAAAGGATGTGCTTTTGCTGCTAAAGCACCACCCAATAAAATTCAATCCCTGGTCTAAAACCGACCGTCCGTGGTCGCGGATACACAGTGATTTTGCTGGTCCACTTGATGGTTTTTACTACCTTGTAGTAATTGACAATTATTCCAAGTGGCCAGAAATATTGAAATGTAAGAAGCCGACATTGGAGGTGACAGTAAAGTTTTTTCACGAGCTATTTTCCCGTTCCGGAGTTGTTGACGGTATCGTAACAGACAATGCCACACAGTTCACATCCTGTTAATTCAAGGATTTTTGTCAGTCATTCCTGATCAAACATATTACCACAGCACCATATCACCCAAGAAGTAATGGACAGGCAGAGCGTTTTGTGGATAATTTTAAGAGAGGACTGGGCGAGAGGTACTCCTACCGATGCGGCTATACAACAGTTTTTGCAGATCTGTCGCGTAACTCCTAATAGCAGTGTTCTATTTGCCAAGACGCCACTGGAGGTCATATTTGCCATGAAAATAGAAAATAAAATCGGCATTTGACAAATTCCTTTTGAGTGAAACGAAAGCGGGAAATAGGAATAAAGTACTTAAAAAGCGCTTTAAGATCGGTGGAAAGATTTTTTTGGGAATAATAAATCTCACTGAAAGATAGGAACAATAGACAGACAAAATGGTAACAAGATTTACATGGTTCAAGGAGCGAAGTTTATACACAAACGTCATGTAAACCAAATTAGAAAACGGTATGAAAGCGTAGTCAACAGGGATCCCATAGAAGATGACAGTATGGACGTCGTCTTTGACACGTTTGAGGTTCCAATACCGCAATCAGTGCCAGAAGGCCCAAAAGAAAAAGGAAATTTACGGAAACTTTAGAAATTAACGCGAAAAGAAAAAAGATATTGAACATCTTTCATTTCATACCATATCTACAGAAAAAGGAAAAGAAGGAGTAAAAAAAAACATCTCCTCACTGATGAACTTTGAATTACCAGAAAAGCACAATATGCTTTGGATTATTGGAAATTATTTACATTATAATTTACAATTAAACTTATCCAATTTTTCATTATTTAGGAATAATGAATAGAGATCTTAATAAAAAGGGACTGTTGTTAACACGTAAAATGTTTGTCGTAAAACTAAAAAAGAAATTGTGAACATAATTCCTGTATATATCTTTTTCAAAGGGGTTGTTTAAGTTTTTTTTTTGTGAAAAAGGGTTTATTTGGTTGAATAAAAAGTATTGTGTGGTAATTATAAAAAAAAAAAGGACTCCATACGAAGTCAGGTTGAAAAGTGGGGGTGTTGTGGTGTCCTCCTTCTAAAGAGTGTATTTTAGACTCTTCCACCTACTATAAGATTAGTAGGAGAGAAGGCCTTGGGGGAACAATCGAATAGATTATTCATCTGTCGAACTTTCTGCCTAGACAGAGAGGAACTCGGACGAAGCTTTGCCGCAGAGTAAAGTTTCGTCCGGGGAGGTAGTCTGACCCTGAACTCGTCTAGACGGGTTCAAAGGGAATATTTTTGGCCGAGCCTACGGGCTCGGAGAAACCCACGTTAAACTCGGCCTTGTGCCACCTCCATTCCTTGTGGAGGGACTGTTAAATATAACAGTCGCATAGATTGTTCATCTGTCGAACTTTCTGCCTCGGCAGAGAGGAACTCGGATGAATCTTTGCCGCACGGAAAAGTTTCGTCCGGGGAGGTAGACACGCCCTGAACTCGTTTAGGCGGGTTCAAAGGGAATATTTTTCGCCGAGCCTACGGGCTCGGATTGCCCCACATTAAACTCGGCCTTGTGCCATATCCTACCTCGTGGGGAGACTGGTAAATATAACAGCCGAATAGATTGAATGCTGGGTCAACCGACACACACTCAGTAGTTGTGTAATACTCTTTTGTTGTATTTATTGTTTAATATATGATATATCTGTAACACATGTTTTGTTATTTCTTTAACCATTTACTGGGTCACAGCAATATATACACAGGGTATTCCCAAAAATGTACTCACTATTTAAATGGCAAAATGTTTATTGATTTACAAAAAAGATTAATTATTAAATTAAATATTAGATGAAATTGAATGCATGTTTAAAAATATTCAAACTGACGACCACCACGTTCTAAACACAGCCGATGAAGGCTGACCAATGGATTCGGATGTGGGTTAACAGCAATTGTTCTTCTACTTTTGAGCGGCAGGTAGATGACCGTCGTCTTCCTAAATGTTGATTATGGACACTGACCAGTGAATTCGGAGGAGGGTTATCAACAATTGTTCTTCTCTTCAGCGGTAGGTAGATGGCCGTCGTCTTCCTGAATGTTGTTTATGAAGGCTGACCAATGGATTCCGAGGTGGGCTATCAGCAATTTTTTTTAAGCGAAGGGTCGATGACCGCTTTCTTTCTGAATGTTATGGACGCTCACCAGTGAATTCGGAGGAGGGTTATCAGCAATTGTTCTTCTTTTGACCGGTGGGTAGATAGCCATCTTCCTTCCTGAATGTTGCTTATGAACGCTGACCAATGGTTTCGAGGTGAGTTATCAGCAATTTTTTTCTTTAAGCGACAGTGAGATGACCATCCTCTTTCTGAATGATGCTTATGGACGTTGACCAGTGAATTCGGAGGAGGGTTATCAGCAATTGTTCTTCTTTTGACCGGTGGGTAGATAGCCATCTTCCTTCCTGAATGTTGCTTATGAACGCTGACCAATGGTTTCCGAGGTGAGTTATCAGCAATTTTTTTTTTCTTTAAGCGACAGGGAGATGACCATCCTCTTTCTGAATGATGCTTATGGACGTTGACCAGTGAATTCGGAGGAGGGTTATCAGCAATTGTTCTTCTTTGACCGGTGGGTAGATAGCCATCTTCCTTCCTGAATGTTGCTTATGAACGCTGACCAATGGTTTCCGAGGTGAGTTATCAGCAATTTTTTTTTCTTTAAGCGACAGGGAGATGACCATCCTCTTTCTGAATGATGCTTATGGACGTTGACCAGTGAATTCGGAGGAGGGTTATCAGCAATTGTTCTTCTTTTGACCGGTGGGTAGATAGCCATCTTCCTTCCTGAATGTTGCTTATGAACGCTGACCAATGGTTTCCGAGGTGAGTTATCAGCAATTTTTTTCTTTAAGCGACAGGGAGATGACCATCCTCTTTCTGAATGATGCTTATGGACGTTGACCAGTGAATTCGGAGGAGGGTTATCAGCAATTGTTCTTCTTTTGACCGGTGGGTAGATAGCCATCTTCCTTCCTGAATGTTGCTTATGAACGCTGACCAATGGTTTCCGAGGTGAGTTATCAGCAATTTTTTTTTCTTTAAGCGACAGGGAGATGACCATCCTCTTTCTGAATGATGCTTATGGACGCTCACCAGTGAATTCGGAGGAGGGTTATCAGCAATTGTTCTTCTTTTGACCGGTGGGTAGATAGCCTTCTTCCTTCCTGAATGTTGCTTATGAACGCTGACCAATTGTTTCCGAGGTGAGTTATCAGCAATTTTTTTTTCTTTAAGCGACAGGGAGATGACCATCCTCTTTCTGAATGATGCTTATGGACGCTCACCAGTGAATTCGGAGGAGGGTTATCAGCAATTATTCATCTTTTGACCGGTGGGTAGATAGCCATCTTCCTTCCTGAATGTTGCTTATGAACGCTGACCAATTGTTTCCGAGGTGAGTTATCAGCAATTTTTTTTTCTTTAAGCGACAGGGAGATGACCATCCTCTTTCTGAATGATGCTTATGGACGTTGACCAGTGAATTCGGAGGAGGGTTATCAGCAATTATTCATCTTTTGACCGGTGGGTAGATAGCCATCTTCCTTCCTGAATGTTGCTTATGAACGCTGACCAATGGTTTCCGAGGTGAGTTATCAGCAATTTTTTTTCTTTAAGCGACAGGGAGATGACCATCCTCTTTCTGAATGATGCTTATGGACGCTCACCAGTGAATTCGGAGGAGGGTTATCAGCAATTGTTCTTCTTTTGACCGGTGGGTAGATAGCCATCTTCCTTCCTGAATGTTGCTTATGAACGCTGACCAATGGTTTCCGAGGTGAGTTATCAGCAATTTTTTTTTCTTTAAGCGACAGGGAGATGACCATCCTCTTTCTGAATGATGCTTATGGACGCTCACCAGTGAATTCGGAGGAGGGTTATCAGCAATTGTTCTTCTTCTTTTGAGCGGCGGGTAGATGACCGTCGTCTTCCTGAATGTTCTTTATGAACGCTGTGAACAGTTCCATTAGCATCAAACTTATCAGAGATAAGAGAGCAATGACGTTGTCGCTTTGGTGGATCTCTGTGAAACTGTCTTTTCATTTGTCTCTGCACTTTGATATTTTCGTGTATCTAGTAACATTTTATTCAAAACTTATTAGTGAGATTTTCATCTGAAAATAAAAGACATTCAAACACCTGTTCACGTACTATCAGTGAAGTTAAGCAACGTCAGTACCTAGATGGGTGATCGTTTGGAAATATCAGGTGCTGTAAGCTTGGATCTGTGGGTGGTGTAATGGATAATGACTTGGAATTGTTAATCGGATAGCTGAGTTCCAATTCGCGTTGGGTTTGTTATATTCACTTACGTGAAAATATTCTTGAGAAAGATATGAATTCACCTCTTCTCCCCCAGCTATGAGTTAATTGTAAGACTCGTATCATACCCAAAAAAAAAAAAATCAATTAATCAATATCTATTCCATGATGAAAAGAGAATATAACGAACCCAACTGGAATTGGAACTCGGCTCTCCGATTAACAATTATGAGCCATTATCCATTTAACCACTCACACATCCAAACTTACATGACCTGGTATTACCAAGCGGCCAGACATCTAGATATCGTCCAGGCTAGATGTTGCTTAAGCGGTTTTTCAACGTGATGTAGGCGTAAGCCTGGGATAGATTTTTTGATGTGTTATATGGAGGTTAATCACTGAAAATACCGTTTTCCTTATTCCGTTTTACTATATTCAGATAGAATCGCTCCTTTGAAATGTGACGTGTAACTGTGTTGTGGTGTGCTCCCTCTAATGAGGCTATTGTGGACTCTTCCATTTACTATAAATTAAGTAAGAAAGTAAGCCTCGGCGGAACAGTGCTATAGCATGTTCGTTACTGTTAAACTCTGCCTTGAGCAGAGAGGAACCCGGACGAGGCTTTGCTGAAGAGCAAAGTTTCGTGCAGGTTCTAAGGGAATCTTTTTGGTCGAGCCTACGGGCTCGGAGAACCCACGGTAAACTCAGCCTTGTGCCACATACATCCCTGGGGGTGGGGGCTGTTAAATATTAACAGTGATATAGACTGTTCTACCGAGCCTGTGACTGTTCGCAGCTCCTGTCAAACAATCTGCCTTGGGCAGAGAGGAACCCGGACGAGGCTGTGCCGAAGGGCAAAGTCTCGTCTGGGGAGGTAGACAGACCCGAACTTTATGCGGGTTCTACGGGGATTTTTTAGCATGACCCACGTTGAACTCGGCCTTGTGCCACATGTACCCTCGTGGGGGGGCTACTAAATATCAACAGTGATATAGACTAAACGCTGGTCAACCGACACACACACCCAAGTTTGTTTAACACTCTTCTGTTGTATTTACTGTTCAATACATTATTTATCTGCAACCTCTTGTTTTGTTATTTCTTAACCATTTACTTGGTCACAGCATCTTGGCAACGAAGGACTCGAAGAAACGGTCTTCACGCTAGATTATAAAATATCTTTCCAATGTCTACAACACTGGTAAAGAAAGAAACTCTACGGCAAAAGGATATCTAGTGTTAATTACTACACAGTCAGTGAAAAAAAAAGAAACTTCGTAATACAATAGGATTTCTACAAGTTCAATTCAGTGGTTGGGAAGAAAGTTGGCGAACTTCGTTATTTTTTTTCCAAAAAGACAGTAACGATGTTGTGGTGTCCTCCCTCTAAAAGAGTCTATGGTGGACTCTTCCGCCTACTATAAAATTAGTAGGAGAGAAGGCATTGGGGGAACAGTTGAATAAATTGAACGCTGGGTCAACCGACACCTACTCACTAGTCGTGTAATACTCTTCTGTTGTACTTACTGTTTAATATATTATATATCTGCAACACTTGTTATTTCTTTAACCATTTACTTGGTCACAACATCTTGGTTACAAAGGATTTGAAGAAACGGATTTCACGTTAAATTATTATTTTTTTTTTTTTTTTTTGGCCAGTGTCTACAACAGTGGTAAAGAAAGGAATTCTAGTCCAACTCTACAACAATAGGGTATCGAGTGTTAATTAAAACGTTGACAGTGGAAAAAAGAAACTAGGATTTCTACAAGTTCAATTCAGTGGTTGAGAAGAAGGTTGGTGAACCTTGTTATTTTTTCCATTCCAACACAAGTCAGTAAAAGAACTGTATGAGTCAAACAGATTTATTGTTTTCGCTAATAGAGTAAAGTAAAAATTTACCCCCTCTCCCGATTTTAAATTTTTCAGTCAAACAGACTTATTGTTGGGTGATATGAAAAAAAAATTCCCCCTTCATTTCTTAAATTGTTCGTACCATCGCAGTAAAATGTACGAATTTAAAAGTGCAATGCTAGTGTTATTAAAACACCAACAGGAACAACAGTTGCTGTTGGAGCAGAAATACCAAAAAAGAAAAGAGAAATTTCAACAAGAACAAGCAGAATTGCGTTTGCAAAATGAAGAAAAAAATAAAAAACTGCACTTAGAAATTCTGGTTAGACAACAGAAGCCTGAAGAATTGCTCCTTCAAACACAGAATGAGCAAAGACACTTATCCAACAAAAGGCAAAATGAGTATCGCGAAAACGCGTTCTCAAAATGCTATATGGAGTGCTATTGAAAACTTCACGTACGCACCTGAAAATGAAATTACATTCGCTTCGTACTTTAAACGTTATGAGGACTTATGCAATACGGATTGTGCAAGTTGGGCTGACCATAAAAAGGCTCGCCTACTCCTCAGGAAATTAGGCACAGCAGAATATACTAACTTTGTTAACTATATTTTGCCTAAGAAAATCAGCGACTTGAAATTTAAAGAGGCGGTTCAATCATGAACAGAAATCTTCAGCCCAAAGATATCACAGTTCTACAAGCGTTGGAAATGCATGAATCTCACCCGCCAAGAAGACGAAGATTATACTACTTTTGCGAGTGTAATCAATGAACATTGCGATGTTTCAAATTAGCAGAGTTAAGCGCCAACAATTTTAAATGCCTGATTTTCGTCCAGGGTTTGATTTCAGCGAAAGACGCCGAAATACGTCGTAGGGTTCTCAACAAGCTTGAAAACGAGCCCATCGTTACTTTACAACAAGTTGCCGAAGATTGCCAACGTTTCGTGAGTGTCAGAGAGGATTCGAAAAACATCGAACAGAGTGGCGTGGCTCACATAAAAAAAAAAAATACGCCAAAGAAAAATTAAAAAGTTACTTTGCCGTCAAGACCATGTTTTGGGTGTGGTCAATTGCATTGGTATAGAGATTGTCCTTTTAAAGATAAAAAATGTTGTAATTGCGATAAATTGGGACACAAATTTTCCCACTGCAGGATTAAGAACAAGACAAAAAAAAAAGTTTTGTTAAAATTGTCAAGTCTGATGAACCAGAAAGTCGTAACATCAGGAAATATATTGTAACAAAGATATACGGCTTTATACGGGTTGAAACTTATCCATAATTATCAAACATGGAAAAAATTGGGTAAGCCGACTTTCTTAAGAACGAACCGAATAGCCAAAGGTGTAACTGGCAACACTATTAAGTTTATGGGCGAACTTATAACGAACGTGTCATTCAAAGGTAAATCTTTAAAACTAAAGGCATATATTATGAAGAATACAGATAATTTGTTCAGGACTGATTAGTTAGATCATTTTCAACTTTTGGATATGCCTATTAACTCATTATGTCAAAAATCGAAAATTTGACTAAGGAAGCAAAAAAGTTCAAAGGTGAACTTAAAAAAATTTCCCGATATTTTCAGTGGAGAACTAGGAAAATGTACAAAAATGTCTGCTAAGTTTGAGTTAAAGCCAGACGTATAACCCAGTTTTTAAGAAAAAACGAAACGTTTCCATTTGCCTCGTTAAATCAAATTGACAAAGAATTGAAACGATTTGAGGAAATGGGAGTCCTGGCAAACGTTGAATGTAGCGAATGGGCATCTCCCACAGTTTATATTAAAAAAAAAAAAGAGCACAGAAATTCGTCTACATGCTGATTTCTCTACGGGGCTGAACAGCACCCTAAAGGATCACCATTATCCCCTTCCAAGTCCAGAGGAGATATTCGCTAAACTCTGTGTAGAAAATTTTTTGATTTAAGCGATGCTTA